AGGGGGGGGTAGGCAGTCCTTCGCTGTCGAGATTCACTGATTTGATTTTCACCGCCAAGTCCCCGTTTGTTGAAGCGAGAGGGCAGCGAGACTAGCAGTGCGGGCACGATGAAGTGGACACGAACTTTTTTTTTTTCTATGTCTGCGATGACGACCGGTGACGCCGTGCGCCAGCCACAGCCACCATGCAGCGACCAGCGACTCGTCTACCTCGGCGGAAATCGTTGTTCATTCGTTCGTTCCTCTCCAGAGGCGCCGCCTGGGTCAAAATGTCATCGTGTTACCCTATTTCAATTTTTGGGGTCTCGACACAGCAGTTACCACAAAAGAAATCTGTGATGTGCGAGACGGTCATGTTGAAACCGGTCCTTCGGTCCGGTAGCAGTTTCTCGCGGCTCCACCGTAACGTGTTTTCCGTGAAACGAGTCTGTCTACGACAGATACACATCGGCGGAGGCTTGTGTGCGGCGTGCCTGCGGGCGGGTGCGGGTGCGGGAGGCATATTTATCTCCATCGGCGGGATTGAGCTAAATTGTTGCAGCTGTGAAGTCCTTTCCGTTCCCCTTGTTGCCTCCACCTCCTTCCATGCCTTTTGGCCCCCCCACACGTGAAACAAAATTCGTAGTCTCGTTCTCATCCGCCTCGCTCGGTCCCACCTGCGCCATCCTGAGAGCTGTGCCTTCTGTGTATGTGTGTGGCCCAAAAGCGCTTGGTTTGTTCAACGGGTTTCATCAGTTGCTCGGCCGACAGCCCAATTAGTTGCGCGCATCAGAACCACGCACATTTTAACCACACGAGTAAAGCGTCGAAGACAACAAGGCACTCTTTTCTTTTTTCGTTTTTTTTTTTTTCCATTTGGTCGGACGGAGCCACCACGCACCCGCACGCGCGTGTTAGCGCCCCCCAGGCTTGCCAAGGACAAGCACGAGGCACCAAAAACAATGAATGGATGAAGCACACCTGAGAAAGATACAGCCAAAACAAACACGACACACTAGACGGTAGAATACTATACTCCTCAAGTATTAGTTAAAGGAAGTCTACACACACGCGGGAGCTCGGGGCTAGACAAAGGCCAAAACACCACACCCACCGAGATACTAACTACCACGAGGGATGTCTCTCTCTGCCGTAGCTGAGAACGACCACGTTATCTTACTACCACGCGATGGTGGTTGACGCTATTTACCTTCAGATGTCAAGGCCCCTCGCCCCCAAGAAAACACCAAACGCCTCTCCACCAACAAGGCTTCCCGCGATCAACCGGAAAAACTCTCACCATAAACAGACAGGGGCGATCCACCCCCCCCCCTTCTCGCCACGCCGCAAAAAACACACACCTACATACTATACCTGCTGCTATGCTGACGTCGCTCAGCACTCGTCTGTGCTGCCTACATTACGTTGCTATCCCGCACCCACAAAAAAAAAACACAGCCTAACCTTGCTGACTTCCCCACATACGTGTACATATCAAACATGCTACAACTACAGTTACAACCTAGACTACATGGCGCCATGGGCGTGACCTCTTTGCGCGCGGGG